ATTCCTCAATTTCTAGTTTTGGAGAAAAGATTATGTGCATTGAATGTTTAATTTTGATACATTTTAAGTAAAAATATCATCTATTAAAATAATAAGTGGTAGAATAAATATTGTAGTTTTAGAGATTTGACTAATTAGGTTGTATCAAGTGCAAGTGTGCAACATTATATTCTATTTTAAATTGGCCAAATTTTAGTGTGATATTGTAACATTTTCTACAAATATTATATCATCTTAGACTATTTTTTATATGGAGGGAAAATAATACCATTGGTCAATGACCTAGTCCCTCAGTTACGTTATGACTGTACTCAATTATATTTTTATCCCTTATTTTTTATCAAAGTGGCACATTTGATCTCCAAGTTTAGAGATCCATCACATACTAACAGAATTTTGAGAGAAGTTTCAATGTAGAATGGACAAAGTAGAAATTTTAAACAAATATTTTTCTTAAATAATTCACTAGTTCTTCCCATAGCATCATTCATCATGCTTCTTCAACAAAATAACTATAGTAATCTTCCTTTTGGTTACATTAGGAATTGGATGATCCCTCAAAATCTGGTGGTGACTTGGAGCTGCATGATTTCTAGGTAAGGTGACTAGTTTCAGGGGCAGATCCAGGAGGGGGGCAATGGGGGCAGTTTGCCCCACTCACCGCTCTCCACCCCCTAGTAACACTCTCTTTTCTTGTATCCGCTCCTGCCTAGTTTAACTAACGAGTAAATTTGTGACTAGTTGGTTAATCTAGTAATTGTAGAAGGGGCAAACTAAACACCATATCATATTTTACCAGATTTTTCTTCTAGTGACAGTAAAGAACTCCAAATGGAAGAGGGTAAATTTTACGATGAGCCATTGTCCTAAACCATAGGGTTAATATCAAAGATTCAAAGCGCACAGCGAGAAAACTTTGTTGAAAGCCTTAATATCAACAAAGTTACTACTCTTTAGTCCGTATGGTTGAAATCAGACGTTGAAATAAAGCCTCCGTAGAGCTCTAAACTAACCATTGATCGAACTCATCATTGCTGACTACATCCACACCGTCATCGAGCTCAACTTAGGTCATTATTGTCGCGGTTTCTCTCTTTTGTCATTAACCACGTCGTTGGAGTGTTGGTTTCATTTCTATTGCAAGTTGTGGTGAGGATTGAGGAGGAAGAAAGGGGAAATGGGTCGAGTTATCTCACATTCTCACTTGGATCTAGGTTAGGGCTTTTAGAATTGGAGAATTGTTAATTAGTTTTCTTGTATTTGTAAGTTGCTCCATGGATTTTGTTGGATAGATGTCGGTAATGTTGGAGATAATGAACGACAATCGATTTAATATCCCAAAAAATAATATTTATATATACACACACTAGTATATAAAATATTATTGGATATTTATCCGAAATATATATATACACACAAATATATATAAAACGGATCCAAAGGTTATATATATACATGTATATCTACGAAAAAGATATACCAATATATATCAACCAAAATTGAAACTAATAATCCTCAGATTATGAGTCCAATCCAAACAATATATCAAAAGAGAGAGAACGGATTTTCGCTTAAAAGCATAATCCAAACAAGAAAGAAGGAGAAGGAAGAAAGAAATGTACGAGTTAGGCAAAGTGTCTGTCTTTCCTTAAAACCTTATTTGCCACCTCCCAAAAGTGCTAGGAGCGTTGTGGCCTAGGTTTCCCAGGATAAAACGTACAACGGTTCGACGTTTGAGCACCCAAACGAACGAACCCGGCGAACTAGAGCACGGGCAAAACACAGCTTCAAGAACGGAGTAGGAGCAGAGTTTTTGAGCTGGGAAAACCAGAATTTTCTGTGTTGTGTGTGTTGTTTTTTCTGTGTAGAAACACTGCTGCTACACCCCTTCTTATATAGGAGGTGAGGAATCAATAGCATTTAGTTTAGCATTTAATCCACGATTTGTAACACCTGAAACAGCCACCATTATTGAGATTTAACTCAAAAATTCAAAAGGTGGAATTAATACAAGATTAATCCTGTACAAGATCAAGTCTTCTCGGGTGATCTCTCGTGGTGTGGCCGAAAACTGTACAGAAATTGGCATAACTTAGCCCGCAAGGCCAGCCAATTTCCGGACGACATTCGTGCCCCCAGGTGCCGGCGCACACGAGCTCGGGCTTGAATCAAGCCTTTTTCAATCTCGTCTAGTTGGAATTTGATTTGCACCCCCCCCCCCCCCTGCGCGAGAGAGCCTCTATGCTATACAATTCTACAAGCTCTAAAAAAGCTCTTGTATAAAAGGGGGGTGAAATCCTCTTTCCAAATCAATGTGGGACAAAGCTCACTTTTCCCTTACATTTTTCCAACTCAATGGGTCTACTTTGAGAATCAATATCTCATTCACCCCTTATCCGTTTTGAGCGTACAATATATCAATCTCTTCGTCTCACTACGAAGAACCCGAATCCACTTTGACCCGATCCAAATCGGAAGTGGGCCCCACTGATAATTGTACCACAAAATAGCCACTTAACATGTCATTTTATGCCATTTTAATGCTATTTTTCCAACAGGTAAAAGGTAATGTCCAGCACCTTGTCTCTCGAAAATGTGATGGATGGTAGTTTATAAAGATTAGAGAAATAAAGTTACGCCTTCACTAATAGCTATAACTTTTGGAGTAGTGGTAAGCGTTTGATCACAACATATTCTTCAAATCCTTTTATCATATGCAATTAGGCCAAAAAAACTTCAATCATGATTAATATGAATAAAACACTATAAATTAGTGACCCAATTAATAATAACAATAGAAGTTAGTGTTGAGGTAGACTCGGGGTTAAAATAGAAGCTAACATTAGGGCAAGTAAAGAATTTTACTTATTTGTCCTTAGATTTAACTTTATCAATGCAATCTTAACGTTAGGAACTAAACATGTCACTCCAGTCAAAATGTAAGAGTGAAAAGTAGATATGATTATAACTGAGAGACTGAGTTGTCACTAATATATAACTTAAAGGCCAAATACGTAATTCTTCCTATATGCTATTAAAAATAGGTATGTAAGATCTTATTTGAAAGACATTCTAAAACAATTAATACTGTTTTATAATACACAAAATTATTATGCAAGTCTCAATAAATATAGTACTTGGAGGAGTATATATTACTGAATAAAACATTGAATATTAGGGGAAACTCAGAGTTAAGTTAATCTGATCATTGGCTTAGTAACTAAAAGATTTCAAATTTAGCTTTTAGTAGTTTCAATTGGTCAGTTATGGATAACACACATTTAAGTAATTTTCTCGTTAATAAAAAAATTGAATATTACTTAAATTATACTTAATTTGCACTAATAAATATTCATTATAAATACGTCGTTACATATACGTATTGGGAAATCATTCACATTAATTAATAAAACGGGGAGTAATTCAGTAATTTAGATTCTAAAAATATTCTATTGCGACAATTTATTCTTCTTATTTTTTATATCAAAATATTATTTGCATTAAATATTATGTGGATTAAATCTTATACGTGATTAGAGAAATATCTTGAGTACTTTTAATCTTATCAATCACATAAATTACATTACATATCAGGGATAGTCTTTCTTAAATGCATTCATAGTATCTTGTAGAAGTGAATTAATTCTAATATGCATTCAAAAAAAGAATTAATTCTAATATTATTCACTTGCCTATTATAACTTTTTTTCCTTTAAATTCATGACTTCGAAATCAATCAAATTTAATGTATAATTCTTTTAAAACTTACCCCTTCTAGTTCCAATACAATGTAAAACCTTACTAAATGACTAAATTTTAAAAATAAAATAACAAGTTTATTCAATTTTGAAATTAAATAAGCCACCTACTTTGTACTGTGATGGCATCTTTGTAACTATTCCAAATGAGTGATCACATGATCAAACCTTAGTGATTTAATACCTTGTAAAGAATTCGTCGTTTTACAAAAAAAATTAAATAAGCCACTTAATTTATAAATTTATTAAGTCATTGAACTTAAAATACAAATTTTCTTCCTAAGTAGTATGACAGAAGAAAGACAACTCCCCTAATATATATTTTATTTGCTTAATAATTAATTTTACTTGTTTTGCAAAAATAAAGCCATGATTGGTAACATAGTTGATCACTCAATTTTGATTGGTTTAACCAATATTAACTGTTTGACTTGTCAAATAATCAATATGAGTGTTTGATTAATCAATTTTTTGTAACAACTTATTGCTCCAGAAAGTTAAAATTCTAAACAGTACTTAGAGTCGTGTTTTCAATCAGTTTTTTAAAAAATAAATTATTTTCTTCAAAACACCCTCAATAAATTTTTTTTTTTAAAAAGGGACTTTTCATGCACCAGTCACATTACTTTCATTGTCTCTACACGATACTAGGCAACGAGTGTTTGAGCCTGTCAACATAACACTTGAATCTAAGTCAATCAGCTATATCAGCTAATAACTATTTATCAAATATCCCATAAATCCAACAACCTAACACATTTTCGAAACTAAAATAAATCCCTCATGATATGGATGTTGCAATCATCCAAAGCATTAGTTGATGAATTAAAAGTAGAATAAATCTTACTTTGAGGGAGACGATGCAATCATCCAAGCATTAAAAAATGTAATGGGTAAAAATGTCTCTTTGACAATTCAGTTCATCACATGAGTGAAGTTTAGAAACAATGATTCAGGATTGAGTTAGTGTGAGTGCAACCTCTCAAAGTAAGATTTTATTGTGTGCAGTAAGCAAAAGTATAACTAAAAAAATCTTAAAGTTAAGGATTCAATTTTTAGGAAGGTAAAAATGAATGACCAATTCTCATTAAATCTCTATACCAAATCTTTTTTTGTATTTGAATTTCTTTTCCAATAAGTAATTACATGAAGAATGGGCTTGAGTTAAATTCAAAGAAAATGGAAATCATCACCATTAATTCACCAATCTCAAAGAAAAAGAAAAAAATAATAATTATCCTACTAGCTCTTCCAAGCGTATACCAGCAAGGAGAATCCAGGAGGATCCTTCAGCTCATTCTCTTCGGCGCTCTCCCATTCCATCACCGAAGTACAGCTCGACGACGCCGACGTGGATGACAGCGATGATGACGACGAGCTTCTCGAGCTCCTCAACAACCCCTTCTTCATCAGCATCGTTTCGAACCCCAATCCGCACCCGTTGACCATCTTGCCGCGGAACCCCCCGCCGCCGCCGTCTTCTCCGACGCTCTGCTTCTCGAATTTGAAGGTGAACAGAGCGTACCCGTCCTCGTCGTCGTCGAATAGCCAGCTGTGGACGTCCCAGGAGACCTGAATCGGGAAACCCTCCACTTCGATTCTCTCGTTGCCTCTGAATTTCCACTTGAGGTGCTTGATTTGCAGCACCTTTTTGTCGTCCATGGAGAAAACCAGGCCCGGGTCGTCTCCGGCGACCCGGCAATCGATCGAGATGCGTCTCTCTTTGCCGCCCACGTTTGCTTTCGTGGCGTACAGTTTCCCGCCGTAGACGTGCTCTCTCTTTAGCACCAAAGCCTGGCCGTTCCCGGCGTGGCGAGCTCTGGTTTTGGCGTAAGCTTCTTTCTGGCAATCGCCGATTAGAAGAACGGTCTCGCCGCCGACGAGAACGGCGATGTAAAACCCGGATACTGGTTCGGGGCCCGATCCGAATTTGGCCCGGGAAAGATCCCAGAAAACATTGGCATTTTTTAATCCGCCGCTACTGCTGATTTGGAGCTTCTTGGATCCCTGCTTCTTCGAGAACATAAAGGGCTTGATTCGGAAATGGAAGGACGGGGCGCCGGAGAGAGAAGAGAAGTAGAAATCCCGGGGAGAGGACTCGCCGGCGGCGGCGGCGCTGGAATCGTCGAGCAGGAAATGGAGGTGGAAAGATCGGCCGAGGAGGTCACGGGACCATGTAACAGCAAACAGCCCCAATCCCGTCCGGTAGAGGCTGGTGGCAAGAGTGGGAGGAGCCGGAGCCGGCGCCGGCGAGGACTCATAGAGATCAGAGGCGGCGGCGGGGGAGGCGCGGAAGCAAGAAGAAGGGGATGGAAAAGGAGAAGAAGGGCGATACTTGGACAACATGATATTATTATTATTATTATTGTTAGAAAGAATAGAGAAAAAGGGGTTTGGGGAGGGATTATAAGGAGGGGGAAAGAAGAGTCAGATTTTGAGGGGCCAAACCCAAACTGTGTGCGTTGGTATGTATGTACGAAGTACGAAGACGACGACTGGATCTGCATTCAGTCTGAAAAGCAAGGGTATTGTGACGTCCTACATGATGCCGCAAAATTAATACTTTCCTTATATTTACTCATCAACATGTATTCACTATTCACGCTATCAAATTTTGGAATATTCCTTATATGTACCTATCAAACTTTGGCACAAATTATACTCCATTTGTCTCATTTTATGTGTCTGATTCGATTAACGAAACTTGACTGGAGTTATTTTTAATCCAATTTTTCATAATATTAAGTTTAATATTAGTATACAAAATTTATTTATTTAGAAACTATACTAAAAGTACTACTCTCTCCGTCCCATTTTACTTGTCTTACTTTCTTTTTTAGTTTGTCCTGAAAAAATGTCATCTTTTCAAAATTGAACATAACTATCACTCTACATTTTCTAATTTACCCTTTTGACTTTTCAATTTTCTAGAGTTAAGTACAATTGTACTTTGTACAAATGACACTTACTTTTGAGGGGCAAAATTGGAAAGTTAGTAATATTTGTTATGTTGTATTAGAAACCGTGCAAAAAGCAAATGAGACAATCAATTAGGGAAGGAGGGGGTATTAAACACAAACATTAAATTTTAAAATAAGTAAAAAATACTAAAGAAAGTAGACAAAGAAGAAAGAGTTGGTTTGACCGGTTAATAGTAGGTAGGACAAATAAAATGAGACAGAGAAAGTAGCTTATTTTGAGTTATTACAAATAAGCTTGTTGGACATCGATTGGGTTGAGCCCTACTCGATTCGAGACACACTTACAATTGAGGGATGTGAAACTAATTAATATAGCTTATTTTGAGTTATTACAAATAAATTTGCTGGACATCGATCGGGTTGGTTGAATTCAACCCTACTCGATTCGAGACACGCTTACAATAGAGGGATGTGAAACTAATTAATATAACGATTGCTTGATTTCATGATTTAAGATAAAAATGAACTTAAAAGTTATTCTTGAAAAAAATTCGTTACTACTATAACATTTCAATCATTGAAATTATATGATATAATTTGAACGAATATAACATTTTAAAGGCATTTAAAATAATTATGCTTACGTTTCAAAAAAAATTATTATTATTATGCGTAGCATTAAGTGTTGGAATGGATCATTTTTATTTGTTGTAAAATTTTAATAATTTATATTAAAACTTATTTTAAACAATGTAATTAGTTTCAAATATTAAAACAAAGTTTTGAATTGAATGAATTCAATTCACTATTAAATTGATCCTAAATCCTAATATGTTTTGACCAATTGTACCTTCAACTCAAATTGATTGTTATTAGTAGTATAAAGTGGAATGTCTAGAAGAGTTGATGTACAAACCATCTAAAGATAGAAAATCAAATGTAAATGTTGGGGATTCACCCAAGACAATTGTTGGGTTGAGTTTGTATTTAGAGCTATGCATATTGCATCTCGTTTGGTTTGAATGAAATTTAAATTTCATTCCCACTTAATTCACACCTAATTTCAAAGATCATTAAATTCCTCAGTTTGGTTGGAAGAAATTGCAATTTCACATAATTGCAATTCCCTCATTTTTATGGAATTAAAATCCCATGTCCCTCCTGAGATTTTAATTTCATGGATCCAAAAAATTATGAGACAAAATTACCCCTCCATTTTTTTTTGTACTTAAAATTGATGCCCACACCAACAATAGGCATTTTGGACTTTATACTACTTATTCCCTTTCTATTCTCATGCATACCAAACATTGGAATTGAAATTCCCAGTAATTATATTCCTGTAAATAAAACACTGGAATTTAAATTCTCACTTTATTCGCCAGTAATTCATCTCTTATGGAATTGCAATTCCTTTCCCACGTAATTTCTAGTATATGTATTTAGTTTAGGATTCACTTGAGTTTATTGTATATATATTTTGTAATCTTCCTGTATCCTAATTATCGTAAATACACAAAACACAGTTCCATACTAGAATTCTCATCTGGTTTCAGTTTAATCGATATCGATCTTATATATGGCTGATGCTGGTGCTTCTGCTTGTGGTAACAATTGTCAGACTATTTTGTCGAGTCGCACGGTTACAGAAATCTTGTCTGCCCAACTGATGTCTACTCCGAATATGCTTCATCAGGCTCATCACTTTCTATTAACCTTACTGCCACGAAAAGCGTAATTGGTCTCGTTTTTGCGTGACCAAAATTTGTATGGATTTCTAAATGGCTCAAATCCTTGTCCTCTCGGAGTTTGTTGCGTCGACTTTGACCGCACCTCCATCTTTCAACACTGCCTATGCTCAATGGATTCAGCAAGACCAGTCCATCTTGAGTATGCTGATCTCGTCCATCGCTGAGGAGGTGTTGTACCTTGCTATGGGACACGAGACTTCTTGTTCGGTTTGGCTTACAGTGGAGACCACACTGGGTTATACCTCTCAACCTCATTCTCTCATTATGTTGTCACAGTTGCAGAACCTCCGCCAAGGTGACTCCTCGCCGGCTGATTATCTTGGTCGTGCCCAAATCCTTGTTGAACAATTAGCGTAGGCAGGACGACCGGTTAGTCTTGATGAGCAGAATCTTCATATTTTCCGTGGATTAAGGCTTGAGTATTGGGCGTTGGGGTCGTCTCTTACGACTAAAGATGCTTTGCTCACCATTCCATAGGTTGCCGACTCGCTTTCTACTCATCAATACTTGTTCCACGACGAATCGCTGCCAATGCTGTCGCAGCCACCATCTGTCGTAGCTCTTCAGTTGCCTGCTGCCATGTTTGTTCAGTCTTCTTCTACTGCTCGCTTGTTTCAGGATGGTGGTCGTGGTTGAGGCCGCCAGCATCGTGGTCAGTGAGGATGTGGACAACGCGGTGGACATGGAGTTGTTCGCTGCCAATTATGTGATGCACCGGGGCACATTGCCATGACCTGTTACCCGCGATTTGTTGATCCAGTTGGGCAGGTTGCTACTAGTTCTATGATGAATGCTCGTTCAGCTCCTCGGGCAAACATGGCGCACTAGTCTACTTCGGATGATCTTCAATCGGCACCGTTTGCAAATGTTTGGTATCCAGATACCTGTGCGAATTCTCATGCTACGCCGCGGATGGATGATTTGCATGCTATTGAACCTTATTCTGGTGGTGAGTCTCTTCGTGTTGGAGATGGGGCTGTCTTTCCAATTGCAAATAGTGGTTCTTTTTATGTTCCTTCTTCGTTACGGTCACTGTCTCTAAACATTGTTTTGCATGTTCCTAGTTTAGGAGCTTCTTTATTATCAGTTCAAAAATTTACATATGATAATAATATTTATTTTAAGTTTCACCCATCATTTTTTTTGTGAAGGACCGTATCACCAATCATGCTCTTCTTAGTGGTTTTAGTTAAGGGGGGAATGTATCAGTTTCTTGTGTCGTCTCTGGATGCTTTTGTGTCTGCCAGAGCGTCTCCGCAAGCGTGGCATAATAAGCTTGGACATCCTCATTTTCGAGTTCTACGTAAAGTGCTTCCTAATTGTTCAGTTAGTGGGTCTTTACATTCGTTTAATAATATATGTAGGTGAAAATTGGTGATGGTTGGGTGTTTCTCTTAGTGGGATGTGTTGGGGAGATGTATGAGTAGGTTGGGATGATTGATTGGAGGGTCCTTGAATATCAACCATAATGCTCGGTCCTTTGGCACATGTTGGTGGAATGGAAGTTGACTCTATAGCTTGAGAAAATGTCTCCTTGGTCCTATTCCTTATCTTCCTTAGTGGATTATGGTCAAGAGATACAAGCCATTGATGATGTTTACTCCTAAGTTGCATACAAGACAAGAAACAAGCCAAGTTAGTTCACAAGAACAAAAAATGCACAATTAAAAGAAAACAAGAAAAGAAAAATGGGTAGGCTTTCCCATAAGAGATTTCCCATATGTTGAATCAAAAACAAAAGCACAAACACTGCTACCAGTCCCTGGAAATGGCGCTACTTGATAAAGAGTATTTTGAGTGAGAGTTCCGTGAGAGGATATTCTTACATCGAATATCGCTCTCACAAGACTTGCGATAAGAGTCAAGCTATTTGTCTCTCAAACACAAGGTAATGACCCTTCAATTGGAAATCTAACCCAAGCACAATGCTGGATGATGTAATTGTAAAAACAACTAACAAAGTAATGAGATAACAATAAAGAGAAAAGCGGATGGGAATAAGAACTTGAACTAAGACGAGGGAAATGCAATTGAACCGAGAACAAGGGAATGAGTCAATTGATTAGATAATGGATGTCATATTAACTAGGAGGAAGTCATTCTCAAGTTCATTCCACACCCTTAGAGCACTTAAGGAAATTCTTTTGACTCATAAATGGCTAAGCGGCGTTTGATCAAACACTTGGTGTCCTAGACATCCCATACTCATTTTTTTCTCAAAGGTGAAGCATGGTTGATCAACCCCTTGAGCCTAGATTAGGTTTTCACTTCCTAATCGGGACTCAATCATGTTGATCAACATCATCCAAATTAAATCTCATCTCCCCTACTCAACCAACTAAAGGTCACATCTCCAAAAACATAATCTACATCCCTCTCACCCTCCTAAGAGATCTACTCACACATAATGGAAAGAAAAATAGTAAGGATATTAATTAAACAACAAAAGCACAATCCATAACTATCACAATATATGAGATCAAATTTATCAAAGTACAAAGTAAATTGCAAGAAATGAAAATGGAGATGAACTTATCTATATTGAAATTGGAAATCTTTAATCATTCATCCAAAGTTGCAATTGAAAGTAAATCTAAGTAGTGATTGTACATTGAAAATGTAATTGACAAGGAATTGTATCTAAAAGTGCTGGAAAATTAAAAGCGATAAAGTA